GTTGTTCGACATATGACGGATAAAAGCTTAGCACCTTTTCACCGAAATCGACTGAGATTACCTCGAAAACAGCGTCAGCATGAATGTTCCAATCGGCAGCTGGTCAAGAGAAATCCGCCGTCGTCTTCTGATATAATCGACCTTCAAATCTTTCCATCAAACACTTTCACTCAAAATGGAAGTAAGCACAATAACTCAGATGTGTCTTGGAAAGAGATATCCAGAATAAACAATAAAACGCAAAATGCGGGTGGTGATGAACAGACAGAGGAAAGGAGATTATGAAAGGAAAACAAGAGGAATGGATGAAAGACCATGGATATATCTACCTTGCTAATAATTGGCTTGTAAGCTACCGCAAATACTAGGGAAATGGAACGTTAGTACAATCCTGAAGAAAAGGACAACCCTCTTCACCAGATTGCTACACAACATACGAAGTCAACAACAACCGGCCACACAATTGATTGAAGTGCAACGGAAAGACTGCTCTAATATGAGGAGAACGCAAGGGAACGGGAAATCAGAGGCTTTGGAAATCCTCTTCCAAATAAACCTGATGAACAGGAGATTAGAAGAGGGAGTCAGCGATAATTTCGCGTACTGTCTTTGGCAGACTTGGAAAATTCAACGAAGACATACAAAAGAAAATGCTTTGACCCAAGACAAGTATTTAACAATATGAAGAGGCATCACGAAGGAGCGGCTCATGAAAAACAAAGGGAAGTGAATGGAAGGCGACTGCAATGAGATGAGTCAGACATGGAATTGGCCAAAATTTACCCAGGGGGTTCACCTGTGAGAGATAGGATATGAAATTAAAGGCTAAAGGTATAGGTGGGCCAAATAGAGGTCGCCAATTTGTAAGCGTAAGTGTCGCGTTCATTTTTCCTATCTGAGTCAGAAGGGCGGGGTGACTGATGACAGGTTTGACCACAGGGGATACCAACCAACACACACACAGGGGTACCATTCAAGTAGCCTAGGATTAGATAGGAATGTTAACGCGAGAAGTGTGCTTTTCACGATTCAAAGGAGAAAAAGAGAAGAGTCGCATTTTCACGCCAGCGATTATGACGGAAGCCAGACAAAAGGCCCCAAAAAATGAGACACTGTGGGTGGGGATGAGTGGAGGACAATTGAGTCATGGATTTAAGGCCTAGGGAGAGGAAGATTCTCAGGCATTAGCATTTGCATGGGCATGGACATGGGCATCATCTGCTCTAAATCCTCGAATATGGCGTAATCAAGGACGGGAATGGACAGCCAGATTTCATACAGCTTAACAGTGATTTTGATTTTTAACAGCGGTCAATTGAGAAGCGTATAGGAAAAAAAGACGGGGTAAACTGCACCTGGTACCGAAGGTGGAGATGATTCCGTTTCACTTGTAGCCACCCTTAGGCAACATTGGAGAAAACTAGAGTACATAATTGTGTGAATAAATGGATAGGATAAGATAGGTTGGGTTGAGAGAAATATATGTGGCACTAGAGATTAGAACAACAAATAGGGGCGATGAGTGATGCCACAACTATTGAACAGAAAATTGGTCAAGGGGATTGCCTTCACTTGTCACTTTGATAAGTTGTAATTCTGGGCTAACGATGGCGCCGCTCACTCACGATGCAGACTACGATGCCGACGAAATATTTGGGAATGTACTCAGTCAATAGTCCAATGCTGGAAATCACAAATACTATGACAGAGGACACGGGACTAGGTACATTCCACAAAGTCTCCCCGACGCTCCGACCAAGTTGCGAAAACAAGGTCGAACCAACACAAACCTATCGAGTCATCCAACGTGCAAATCTCTTGTAGCTTCTTCAAAGAAAGAAATGTAGTCCTGCTATTTGCACAGATAACTCCTAATAAAATTACATTCCTACAAAAAACCGCAACACAATTACATCATAATGGATATAAACAGGGGAAAATATTAGGATTAGAGGGCCAGTGTGGTAATTTAAACCAATAATTTAATTACTATTCTCGATTACGCTTAACCTCACATTGCAATGTTACAAAGACTCAATCATGTTTTTGCTATAACTACTATCTTCCTATTCAGCTATGTTCAAGAAAACTAAGCGCTAACATGAAATTCGCTCGCATGGTACGTGCTTGCAAGCCTTCGTAGCCTGTATGCATACTCATTCTTTTAGCAAAGTGGCATCTTACAAGATGTGTATGCCCCTTATAGGCCTAAATATTTTTTTTGATTTCAATTCCATGTGCAAGAAAAGCTCACCAGCAAGCCCATCAGAATAGTATGAATAAAAGAATTCTGAAAGGAAAATCAAGTTGTACATGCGCTGTCCTCATTATACCAACGCAGTCCGAGACCATGAAAGTCATCTTTTAAGCAGTTCAATTTCGAGTTCATTTTCCCAACATTTTGTTGCAATTATTTTCTTTTACATAATAAGTAATAACAAATTATTGTCTTTTCATCGGTTTGATACAAAATTCGTTTTTGAAAAATATTCGATTGAACACGGCCAAGCCATATGCTGCCCTAATAATTCTCAATTCTAAGAGGTAAAGTTGCAAAATATATTCCAAAGAAGCAAAAAAAACTAAATACCTCATACCACATAATTCAGCTTTTCTTCAAATATAAAAAATTAAGGAGATGCCTCTTACAGACATAAACTCAAATGAGTTAACTATTTTATCTGATTTAGTATTAGATCTACAAATAAAATATCAAGTATTAGCCCAGTTTCAGGGAAAAGAGGTTTTACTTAAGTAATCAACTAATTAACCGATTAAAGCAAGCCAAAAGGAGACTTGAAGAAGGCAGGATCAGCGAAAACTTTGTATATTGCCTAAACAAACTCGGAGAAGATCATGCAACAGCAGGATCAGCAAAAAGAAGACGACTGGATTAAGGTAATATCCTTAATTTTAGGAAAAGAGATCACACGGGGATGAGAAAAGAACAATCAGAAGCAAAGAGGAGACGTTTTCGGTGAGCGTGATCAAAATAAGTAGAACCACAACATTTGTGGGTTGGCACACAAACGACTAGGACGTAGGAAGCAATGGACATGGTATTACAGATAAAAACAGGAAAAACGTGGGGGAGATTAAAGCTATTTGGCTAACAATAGACGTGTTTGATCATGAACGTGATCCTTGAATCACGACTATTGTTAGACAAGTAGCTCTAGCTTCCAATGTTTCTATCCTTTTTCTATTTATAATACCAAGTCTATGACTTGCTATGCCCTAGTCTCTTATGTGCCTACACGCAAACGTTGTGGTTCATCATTGACATAATCAAAGCTAGCAGTACCACAACATTTGTGGGTTGGCACACAAGCGACTAGGGTATAGAAAGTCAAAGACTTGGTAATAGGGATAGAGACAGGATAGACGAGGCGGCGATTTGAGCTAGTTGGCTGACAGTAGGTTTTACAAAAGACGTGATCCATGTAGCAAAGGCATGACCATGAGACTAAGTCTGAGGCTTTAGCTTATAATCAAATAGCCAAGTGCAGAGGATTGACCAATTACGCCTCGAGTAGCACAGATGGGGAGAGCAGGGGTCGAATGAAATACATGTACCAGGGAGATAGCAGACGGATTCTACGGGGCAAGAGGGAGACTCTGATAGGACCCAGGAAAGGACTACGTAACAATATGACAAACTCTGGTCAACATTCCCAGCACAAGGGTGAAGGGGGTGATAACGAAAGCGTGGAATGTGAAGGGTTTTCATGAATGCCGCTTGAAGGAGCAAATCACATTACCTTAAAAATAGGCACGGTAAAAATTTTGACAGGTAAGGCATGATAGGAAGATTTAGGAAATGTGAATAGCCCAGGGCAGAAGGGGAGATACCACAACTGTTTAGCACACGTTGGTTAAAGGATAGGCTTCACTTGTCTCTATGACGAGCTGTACTATGCTGCTACGAATGGCGAGATTCACTGACGATGCTGACTACGATGCAGGCGAAACGTCTGGGAATGTACCACATTCACGGTCCTACTCTGGAAATGATGATCCATACAATGAACTCCTGACTAGGTGCTTTCCTCTAAGTCTTTCTACCAATATGACCAAGGTCAAACAACGTCTATACAACGAAAGGAGACTGTGACCATACAAAGGGCCACACTATCTTGGTCTTCATACCTTTTAATTATTTTAATTTGCATCCTAGCATAGGTAAAACCAGATTTAATTATTACTTTTGTTGGGATTATACAAATTAAACGATTTCCCTCATTAAAGGCCCTTTCGGAATTGGTTGCTTAGCAGAATATTTTCCATGCGGATCTGCAAATACCTGTAGAAGCAGACTGGCCTAGCTTGGTTGATTGAACAATGCAGGCAGAATGTATAAACAGAAAGAGCTGGTAGACGCAGCACCTCAATGCAGATTTTTTTGGAATTAGTTCGTTCAGCTCGCACGCACCAATTATGAGAAACGAGATGTATGAGTGAAGTCTGCCAGTGAGAGAAAGGGCTGAGGCAAACACACGAAAGGATAAAACGCAGATGTAGGTGAAAAAATGGACACAGATGAATGAAAACTAAGGACACATGTGACTTTCTGATGCGCTGATAGTGACTTAGACAGTGTAAACAAGCTATTGGTGGAAGCTTTGGTGTCATATCACGCCAACAACCAGTAGTCGTGTCTATGGTTAGGCCGGGTTTCCGCTGTGGCGGAGTCGGGCACATGACAGGCACGTGGTCATTCAAAGTTCATTCGTCCACACAGCCGCCCAGGTATCGGAATGCACACAATTTACCCCACTCAGCCAAGCGAAGAGAGAACAAGGTAGACTTTGTACATGCAGCAGCTTGCGCAATTAGTGCAATAAAGGAAAGGACACAAATCGGACGCCTACCAAAGGTGAACTCTGAAGGCCAGAATGAGCCACATTTCTGATTGAACGGCAGGCTTGCAAATGAATGAGGGCAAATCGATACTAAACGCAAGAACCAGCAATGTCATTAAGCGACGATGAGTCAAGCGGACATATGTATTCACTCCTGATGACTGAGCCATTGCATGATCACTATATATGGGGCCAGATCACCTTAAACGACCTAAGATGACTAACGCCACTATACAAAAAAGCCCATATAGCCAAATACTCATAGAAAACGAATATACAATAGATATAGATCAGCCTAACCTAGGTATTATGTTCAAATCTCACACACGCAAAAGCATAATGATGGTTGGTATTCGGGAGGTTTAAAGCATGGAATGAAAGGGACAAAGCTTCAATGAGAGCAAGAAGATTTACTGAATTAGAGTGGACAGGGTTAATATTATCTAATGTAAATAGATGTCCCTAGTCAGTTGAAAACACAATTTAGCCTTATCCGGTTGACCTGGCTCAGAATAAATTTTAGCTTAAAATTCGATTTCAATAGACCAAATGCTGGAAAGATAAAAGGCAATGAGTGGAGGTGCAAAAAGTTCAAGGTAAGGTACATTTCCTAGATAAGATAGCCTTGCGATAGCTGCAGTCAAAGGAAATCATTAACCGGTGGTGTGTATAAATGACTCAATATGAGGAATATGAAAAGTTAAAAATAGGATGCAGGTACCACATTTTGCAGCTAAATCGACAAAGGGATGAAAACTCAAACTTAGGGTATTCTGAGAGTACTAATGAAGGAATTCTTAATTAACTTTCCCAAGAGTCTCCAAGATCTGTTGGAGATCTAAATAAGATACCTTAGTACCTGCTAGTCACACAGAGTAAAATACATTTGAGAAGCATGCTAGCTGCAAACTTGTGGATGTCCAAAAAGACTTGTTACAAATTGGCAGAAGCAAGAGACAGACACAATAATGCTGCCTCGTATCAAAGCATCAGAGATACATGATATCGAAAGATGTACTGCATGGCTGCTGACCATAGTTGGGTTCACAAAATTATTGACTTCACATCAAACAGTTCATGTATTCACTCAATTAGGTGGATATTGAAAACCCAAGCAAGGTTAGCCGTTTAGAATCCTTTAATTTGGCCTACATGGACAGAGTATATGGCAAAAGATGGAGGTGAACCAGTGATCTATAGAGGCTAAACCCAACTCAAAATCAATCATTTCAAATAGCACAATATCGTATGTTAGCATAATAATAAGGTTAATCAGGGAATCAAGGGATTAGAAAAATGAGATCTACCAACAAGAATCCAAAATTCAAAGAAGAGGAAACAGGTCAGTCTATTTAATGTAGAATTGACAGATTTCGAGTAAAAAACAAAAAAGTAAGCCTATCGGGTGCGAGGTCAAGTTTTCGATCCGTTGCTGTATAGTAGTTGCTTGACCTTGCTTGGCCATTTTGGCAGGAAGACCTAGAAGAACAAACCTTGTCCGAAGTCTTTGTATGCAATATAATTTCCGGTCGGACTGGGAATTTGATGTTCGCCAAAGAGACCGATGAAGTCCATCCTTTGACCAATTGTCTATTAAAAAGTTGTGGTATCTCTCCTGTCCTCGGATGTTCATCTATAATATATCTTCACTATTTAGACCTAACTTAACTCTTATATATACTTATAACCAAAAACGAAGATGAAAGTCATAGAGAGATATAGGATAGTTTAGCTAATTATCGTTTATACTGATCCTGACACTTTTGTTGAGCTTACTTCCATTTCGAGTGAAGGTATTTGGTGAAGATACTCGGAGGTCGATTCCAGCAGAAGACGACTGCGGATTCATCTTGATCAGCTGTAGACTGGCTTCACTGGAACACTCAAGTTGACGCTGTTCCCGAGGAAATCTCCTTCGATTCAGGTCAAAACGTGTTTGGGTGTATGTTAGTTAACGTCTATACGCAATACCGGTCCTAAATCAGTGATCAAAAAGGCTAATATCAGGCTTTGATCATTAAGCCTTAATGACCTAAGAAGAAGCCATGGCTGAGACTGCATAAGTCCGTAAGCACATATGATTGAGATATTTAGATGTCCTAACTTCTCTTTCTAAGGCCATTATCGTTTAACCACACAAGGAAATGCGACTGGGGCCGCATAACCTTGTAGGCCTGGTTTCGTTGATGAGCTTAATCTATATATTGGGCCAGTGAGTGAAGTTAGAACCATCACTGAGTAGACAAGTTGAGTCGCCTTATTTTGGATGGCGGCTCAAAACCCCCTCTCTTTCAAACTATAATGAAGTATATGTAGTTCTTACTAAACTTTATGCCAGCGTTCCCCACATTCAACGTACTCCATAATCTATTAATTTCAATAGCCTCTTTTATCTTCTTTTTACAACACACGTACTATAATCAGCAAACCCACTAATTTAATATCATTCTATCTCATTTCCAGTCTTTGTCATGTGTTCAGTCATTTCTGGCCGTCGGACCCAGCTCTCTTTACAAGCAGTTTTTGTATCCCGCTAGTTGTTTTCGAATAGGCCAGCATGTCTCATCAACATAAGGCCGACAACAAAAGCACACAATCTTGTGGCATCCGGATCTCGATAATGGGTTATAAATCTCTCTAAAAGATGGCATAACCGAAGAAAGTGTGAGGGTTTCTTTTAAGACTGCTTTTACCCCCTAGTTTCTCACTAGCCCTCATATCTTTTTTGAAAGAAGGCATGACGCCAAAATCAGGACATAAGAGGTCTCCTTTTGTCTCCAAATGTATTACTAAGAACGTTTACTTCATTACCTAGGGAAAAATTTAACCCCTTCTTTAAGAGATTCTTAGTTTCAGAATCAAGAGGGATTTAAGCTAGGTTTACTACATTAATCCTATTGGCATGAGATTAGTCCTAGCGGCATGACAAGAAATTGCTTAACTATGGGATAATAAGACAACACAACTACGGATCTCTTTAAGAAGGGGTTACATTTTTCTCTAGGTAATGAAGGAAACGTTCTCAGTGATATTCTGGTGGAAATTGTAAACATAACGGAGAAATATTCAGAAAAGACAAGGCGATAGATGGAAATGGAAATAATACCAAGGATCCTGACACATCAATAACTGATACACAGGGGCAGATTAGCTAGTATACGGAAAAAAATACAAAAAATGGTCAAATAGTTCTTCAGACGGATAAGGAAGGAGCGTGGTTGTAATGGACAGAAAACATTACACGGAGAAAATGGAAAGTATCCTAGGCGATCGGAACACTTATCAAGCATTAAGGAAGGATCCAACCATGAGGATCAACGGGGCACTGAAAAATATGCAATATGAAATGCATAATAATGGGGAAATTGATAGATGGATGGTGAAATCTATAATCAAAAAAGAAGCAAGACCACAGACAGCCTAGGGACTACCGAAGATACGCAAAAAAGGAAATCCGCTAAGACTAATGGTCAGCAACAAGCATGGAGCAATACACAAACTAGCAAACTTCATTTGCTTGAAGCTTAAGAAAGTAAATAACAGAGTCTTGAACACCGACAAGAATTCATATAAATTTTCTCAAAGGATGTCATGTACACAACCATGTCAGGTAGGAAGGCAGTAAGCTCATTGCTGGAGATATTGGAGTTAGAGGATATCCTGGATGCAGAACTGATAAGGAAGGAATAGTTAACACGATTGATCAACCTGACAGTAAGGACCCCCTTTGCTACATATAACGGCAGTATCTATGAGCAAATATTTGGATAACCGATGGGATCTCCACTCTCATCTCTTTAGGCAAATGTGTACATGGACAAGTTGGAAAGGTAATTCGAGAATTCCCCACTGCAGCCAAGAGTGCTTATTTGATGCTTGGATGACTACTTTGCACTTTGGTCACATGGTAAGGAAAATTTAAATGAATTTCTCAATTTGATTGACCAACTACCAACTTGATGAAAGAATTACATTCACATTGGAGGTGAATGAGTAGGCCCGACTACCCTTTCTGTATATTAAAGTCATGCGCTCCAGCGGGACACTCATGCGGAGACTATATAGAAAGAATTGATATGCAGGAATAATCCTTAATTTTCAGTCTCACCATAATTACAGACTGAAGATCGGAATACAGAGGAGCTTAATCATCAGAAGCTTACTAATAACGGAAATTGAGTTCTGGGATGAAGAGTTGGACAAACCTAAAAGGATTTGCCTTAGAGATTTTATAGAAAAAAATGTAGAGGTTATAAAAAGCAGATTTCAACTCGGTTTTTATTAAAATCAGGTCAGGAATCAGAACGACCAGAAGTGGATTTGCCTGCACAGGTCAGAACTGAGCCATCAATTGCGACCGTTACTAAAGAAATGGACGAGTTGTTGTATGGTGTTAAGAAAGGCGAGACTCACTGACGATGCCGACTACGATGCCGGCGAAACGTTTGGGAATGTACCACGTCCACGGTCCGACTTTGGAAATGATAATGCATACAATGGACTCCGGACTAGTTGCTTTCCTCTAAGTCTTCCTACCAATATGACCAAGTTGCGAAAGCAAGGTCAAAAAACCTCTTTACAATGAAAGGCGAT